GTTTAGGGTTTGGGGTATAGGGCTCATAAATTTCTAACGAACCCTATTGCAACCCTTGCCACACCCTTGTAACACTCACAATAAACTAGACCCAAGCCCCAAGAAAGCCCGGCCAACCCTCAGTCCTGAAACCCTAGAACCCTAAACCTCAAAACCGCTAAACCCCAAATCCTAAACCCTCAACCCTAAACCCAAAACCCTAAACCCTAAACCCTAAACCCAAAACCCTAAATCCTAGACCCACTGCTGAAAACCCGAAGCTCAGACCCTCTAACGCCCCATCCAGTCTCGGAGGACGCCCCCTCTGCGGAAGCAAAGGAAATCGAGCCATCTGCGTTATGCGCGAAACGCCTGGGTGTGCAACTTCAAGGACTTATAGAGGTTACATGGTTCAGGATGAATTTGACTGTCAGGAGTACGATTCAGTTTGCTTTCAGGGTTTAGGTTCTCATGCCTCAGGAGGCTAGGATGTAGGGTTTGGGTCTCTGGCGTTGAGGGTGTAGGCACGGCTCTGGAAGGGAGGCCCTGGCATCGCAGGAATTAGATTAGATGGTGTCGACAGGTCGCAGTTACACTAGTATGGTTTCCTAAACCCTACACCAAAAGTGCCTGGTCACCGCGGGCGCTTCTAGAAGGTTGCTATACGGGTTACTCCGAGATACTACAATGGTTTCCGGCTTAAGGCTTTGAAGGCTTTGGGGTTTTGGGTTCAGGTTTTTGGTTTAGGGTTTAGGGTTTAGGGTTTAGGGTTTAGGGTTTTGCAAGTATCACCAAAACCATCGAGCACGAGCACGAAAATTCAGAAAATATTAGCAGTCTTCCCGGGCTTTCACCCCCGACTCGAGCGAGCCCGGTCCCATGGAGACCACCACAGACAGCTCCTGACAGATGACAGACCGGAAAGCCCCCTTCCTTAAACTCGGAACCCTTCAAATGCTGGTTAAACCCTAAACCCTAAACCCTAAACCCTAAACCCTAAACCCTAAACCCTAAAGCCTAAGCCTGCACTGCAAAATTCTACACCCAGAGCCTCAACCCACCAAGGCCTAAAAGCGTTCTGAACCCCCCAAAGCCTACCGCCCCGAAACCGAAAGCCAAAGCCCCTCAAGCTCGTTTAGGGTTTAGGGTTTAGGGTTTAGGGTTTAGGGTTTAGGGTTTAGGGCTTATGGTAACCTTTCTAGAAACCCTGATTGTAACTAGTAATCCAGAGGCCCCAATATCCCTTAAGTAAGAAAGATACCTTAAATCATAACGGGGATCCTACTATAATTTAAGGTATGTTCCTTAATTAAGGGGTATTGGCTTCTCTGGGTGTAACCAATAACCCTTGCCAAACTTCGCGATCCCAGAGGCAGCGGATGCCACGCTGCTGGCCCCACCAGGGAGCCTCAAGGCGTGGTCGGAGGGGTTCGGGCTTCTCAGGGTTTAGGGGTTTAGGGTTTAGGGTTTAGGGTTTAGGATTTAGGGTTTAGGGTTTGGGTTTAGGGTGGGTTCGGGCTTTTCAGGATTTAGAGCCTTGGGCTTGAGGTGTAAGGCTGGGGTTTGGGCTTCTCTACCGTCAATATCAGGAGGCCTTTATTGGCTCAGGGTGTTTGATTTTGGGGCCTGGGGGTTATAGCCCTAAACCCTAAACCCTAAACCCTAAACGGTTATTAGGTAGGGCCTGGGAATGATGGGGTTTAGGTCTTCAAGGCCTATTGCTTTTTGGGGTTTGAGGTTGGGGAATAGGGCTTCAGGGCTGAAGGTTTAGGGTTTAGGGTTTAGGGTGTACCGTGGGATTCTGATCCTAGGCACAAACCAGTAAAGTGAACCCTAGACTCTACAGTATGGCGTCAAACGTCAGAGTGCTTGAATGTGCTTCGCACCTCGAAGAGTCAACCCTCTATCTCAAGTCGCGCCGAAACTCGCGAGCCTTAGACAAACTCCCGAGATAAAGACTCTGCAGCACATAAACCCTAAACCCTAAACCCTAAACCCTAAACCCTAAACCCTAAAGCCTAAATCCTGCATATCAGTCATCGGAATCACAGCTCTCGCTGCAGCCCCCTGGCCTGAAACACCAACGCCCGGAACCTTCCAACCCCTAAACCCAAAAAAACCCTGCAACCCCAGCCTCCAAACTCTAAACCAGAACCCCCCAAAAAAAACTGAAAAGTCCAAAAGTCTTCTCCGTGTCTCCACATACATACATGCATGCATACGTACATGCATGCATATATACATATATGTATATGTATAGTACAAACGTTTCTCTTGAATGCATGAATGTGTGTACGCATGCACGTATGTATGTATGTATGTATGTATGTATGTATGTATGTATGTATGTACCTATGTATGTATGTATGTATGTATGTATGCATGCATGCATGCATGCATTCATGCATGTACGTATGTGTGGTTGCTTGTTGGTTGTTTGCTCATTCGTTCGCTTGTTGTTTGTTTGTTTGTGCTGTTTGTTTGCTTGTTTGCTTGTTTGCTTGTTTGTTTATGTGTGTGTATAAACGATGTGTGTGTGTATATATATATATACATGTGTGTGTAGATGTACATATATGTATATACAGATATGTATACGTATATGTGTGCATGCATGTCGCCAAAGATGTAAGCAGATACATGTATACACATATGCATATACATATGTATATATATATATATGCATCACCTATCATTATATGCTTTAGTTTATTATGTGGATACAAGTGAGCTCGTATAGAGACTCTCCAAAACAGGTATGTTGGAGTGGTTGCATCGAACCCTTCACCCACCACCCGCATAAATGGAGCAAGACACTATTGTTGGATTGTGGAAGAATAGGCACGAAAGGTCCTATAGAAACCCCTAAAGCCCCTGAACCCAAACCCTACACACGCGCCCTAAGCCCCCAAAAGGCCACAAGCTCCCAGAATCCCAAAAATCCCCAGACCCTCAACAAACCCAACACATCAAAGCTCTCCCGAACCTCAAGGCCCTGAACCCTAAAATGCTACACCAAAATTCTGAAGCCCTTAACCTACAAGCCCCCCAAATCGTTACAGAAACCGCTATAGAAACCCCCTGCCTTCGGCCACGAAGAGCGTGCCCTCATGTAGTGGGCTCCCGAACGATGGCGCCGATGCCGTCCGGTGCATCTTTATAAGTGCTCTCAAAGGTGACTACAAGGCTTTGAGTCGGATTGCTCTAGGGGTTAGGGGTCTACGGGCTTAGGGGTTTGGGGGTGTCGAAATGGTGGGTTTAGGGTTTAGGGTTTAGGGTTTAGGGTTTAGGGTTTAGGGTTTAGGGTTTAGGGTTTAGGGTTTAGGTGGTGGGGCTCGGGCTTACGGGATTCGGTTGGCAGAGGGCCGCTGAAGGCTGCTGTGGCTGTTCTTAAACAGGACAGTCACTCTGAGGGACTGGCAACCGAAAGGGCAAGCCGCAAAACGTCTGCAAGGCGTTTCGGGTTTCGGGTTTAGGGTTTAGGGTTTAGGGTTTAGGGTTTAGGGTTTAGGGTTTAGGGTTTAGGGTTAGGGATAGGTAGCGGCGTCATTTCACTCGAAAGAACTCAGACCCGTTGCCTGATACTTCACAGTGTGCTTACACGAAGGGCTATCTTTCGGGCAGGCTTCATTGGAACTGTTTGGGCTTCCAGTGTTTACTCGAGACAGCTCGGCCAATGGAGCTTTCACCGATACTATGACTATAACCGACTACAGTATATGCCATGCTGCACTACTGTATACACTAGCACATACTACAGTATAGAAATCCTTCGCCAATCCCGGCCCTGAACCCCAGCACCTCCCGAACCCTCAAAGGGTGTAGGGTTTAGGTTTCCCAAAACCCGAGAGCATGCTGGAACCCCAAACCCACGGGCCCAATCAGACCTCCCGAGTTCCCCGAAACTTGAGTCCGTTTCTAAGGCGCACGCTGCACACAATGATAAAAGCACATCACCCTGAGAAAGGTGCAGGGTCGTCCAAGTGGCGTCCCCGAGTAACAGAAGTTGAAAATTACATCCGACATCGGCCGAGTCTTGCAACTCACGGCAACTTAAATGCCTCAGCTCGACAGCTCAACTAGCCTGGGTAGCCACGGCTAGGTACGCCACGAACACTCCGGACAAGAAACCCACTTCTCGACAGCGCCATTCATGACGCTAGTTCCCACGTCCTGCTCCTAAGACTCTAACTCTGTGGCTGCCTATGGAGCGACTTCCGGAAAACCCAGCCGTGGTAGACAGGAAAGCGGTATGCGATGGTCACGACAGCAAGGGTCCTGGCAAGGGCTTAACTCCCTAGCACTTACCTCCTCTACCTTTAATGTGAGCGTTGATCTAATTCGGGGGTGAAAGACGACAAGCAAGAATAAGACAACCCCAGACCCTAAACCCTAATCCTGAACCGAAAGCTGCCAAGAAGGCACCACGGAGGGCGAGCGAGTATTTCCATACCGCTTGCCGGATTGATGGGAATAGGCACGAGAAGCCCCAACCGTTGAAGAAGAACTAAGTAACCCTTCCGAAATTATTGCACTATGATGAGGGCGTTCTTGCTAGATTGGTCAGAGCTTCTTAACTTGATGTACCTCAGATCTCAGATACTACCCTCATCCTACCAAGCCAACTCGATTCTACGAGCATCTGAAACAAGAGAAGTACCGGCAATGCCCTTACCAACTACAGGCCGGTGTACGGTTCATGAACCCTGTAGAACCACTTGAGGACACCTCGGCAACAATGCGAGCCCTCTGGCTAACTAAACCTTTTCATCCCACCGAACCCTTGATAACATTTTACAGCCCATTTCACTACCTTAACAGGGAAAAGCACAGCTTGCCGAAGACCTTGTACCTAACAGTCATCGAGCCCACGCAGTTCCTGGGTCAACCGGAATGGACCGGGTGAACCGGAATGGACGATCATGGATCCTCAGTTTCAACAGCCCCGTCCTTGGTGAATCCGAGTCCCCGTGCACAATCATTCTATCTGGGCCTGCGCCTCAGCACAGAACTTTAAGGCCTGGTTCGAGGTCACGTTCGGGTGCCGGGTGTAGCCTATAACCGACCTAGCACGGCTGGCCCCCATCCCAAGTAGGCTCTTCTTACGGACCCCCCGTAAACCCTAAACCCTAAACCCTAAACCCTAAACCCTAAACCCTAAACCCTAGGGAGCATGCAAGTCCCTTCAGAAAGTCTCAGGTGGTACGGCTGATGGACAAAATCCTGCATGACCTTAAGAACCCTAAACTATGGGAATTATGGTATATTCCTTATAGTGGGTAATGCAGGATTTTGTCCATCAGCCGTATGGGCCGGGATTCGGGAAGTGGGGAGTGAGGTGAGAGGGTTAAACGCTGTCGGCTTCGGGCTCGGGGTTTGAGGTTTAGGGTTTTCTTTTGTTTAGGGTTTAGGGTTTAGGGTTTAGGGTTTAGGGTTTAGGGTTTAGGGTTTAGGGTTTAGGGTTCTGGGTTTTGGGTTTTTTTGGGTTTTGGGTTTAGAATACAGGGTTTCGGGTTTAGAGTACAGGGTTTAGGATTCAGGGTTTAGAGTATAGGGTTTAGGGTTTGGGGATCAGAGTATTGGGTTTAGGGTTTTGGGTTTAGGGTTTTGGGTTTTGGGTTTTGGGTTTTGGGCTAAACCCTAAACCCTAAACCCTAAACCCTAAACCCTAAACCCTAAACCCTAAATCCTAATTGGGGGTTGGGGAGGGGCTCGGCTTCACAGGTGGTGAGGAAACGAGCCTCGGAAGCTTCAAACCCTAAACCCCCAAACCCTAAATCTGGGGTTTTCCGAAAAAGGGGAGTCTAATATTGTACCCTAAATAGTAGATCCTGAAAACCCCAAGCCCTACACCCTACAAAGCCTAAACCCCTAAAATTTCGGCTTTGCAAGCTACTGCCGCTGCTTTCGCCTACAAGGGTTTAGAGTTGAGCTCTTAGGGTTCATAGAGGGGCTTGGGCTTTAGGGCTTTCGGCTTAGGCTTTAGGGTTCATACACGGGCAGCGATACTTAGGCGTGGGTTTTGGGGATCTTGTGGTGTATTCATGAACAGGGATCCTTTTGCAACAATCTTGGGAATCATTCAGGCCGTTGTTTTGGGGTGTAGCGGTGTTTGCGACAGCTACGGGCATAAAACTCACTCCAGCCCTTCTCGACCCTGAACTTAAACCGCTGCAGCGATCAGATCAAGTGAACTCACATCAGCAAGCTGGCACCATCTGGCGAATCTACCACGAAATCCTAGACCCTAAGCTGTTTTTATCCGAAACCCAATGCAGTCAGCCCGGGCAGCCAGTTCCAAGGCGCAGATGGAACCATAATTACACGCCGAAGTGCCAACCTAAAACCATCTAAAACCCACAAAGTTTCCTATACCTGCAGCCCTAAAACCCAAAGCCTAAACCCTAGACCCTGCGCCCCAAATCCTCAGCCTAAGCCCAATTTACGTGAAACCTTAAACCTAAACCCCGAAGCCCTAAACACTAAACGCTCGAACAATAATCATCATCACAAAATGTTGGTAATGATAGTACATTATTTATTGTGACAAAAACCATGATAATCATAACAATAACCCTAACCCCTAAACCCTAAACCCTAAACCCTAAACCCTAAACCCTGAACCCTAAACCCTAAACCCTAATCACAACAATAATAATAATAATGCCTAAACCCTAGAGCCGGGCCCTGCAGACCGGGCCTCTGCCCCTAGCAACCTCGGGCCAGGACTTCGGGGCTCGCTTGAGGTTTAGGCTTTGGGGGGATTTAGGGTTTAGGGTT